GTGTGGGGGGGAGGCGGGGGTGTTGTACTTGAAGCCTTATTTAACAGCTTGGATAAACAGCCCTCAGTTTAGCAGGCGCCCATCCACTCCTTGTGCTTTCTTTCAATAATCATGCTGGCTTTCTGAGCCTCCTCCGGTGTACAGTATTATATACAGGAATAACAAACCCGGGGTCCACCGTGTTGGTCAGAGCACAGTGCACCATTATACTGCCGGGCATACTCACATGACTGAGGTGCCTGCAGTTTGGATATGTCAGTGAATACATGTCAAGCCCAATTGCAAAAGATCCATTCTCAAACACTCCTGGTTCACCTTCTCATATTTTGGAATGCTGTCCAGATTTGAATCGCTACAGTCTCCATCCTCCTGGGCCTCTCGTATATCAAAAAGTATTTTTAAAACAGAAATCCGTGGAGTCAAGGACTGTATTTTGGGAACTTTCTATACACACAGGCAAAAATGTGAAAAGGAGACTTTGAGGAAGTTTATGATCCTTTGTATTTTTTGGATTGTGTGCTGCAGGGGGAAAAATGTCATATTTTAAAAAGGTTTTTGGAATATTTTTCTCTCCGAGTATCTCTAAATCTTAGCATTTGATTTGTCCAACATGCAGTAGATAAGTTAGCCCGTATATTAGTTCTACTTTGACAGCAAAAACAACATGTGGTATGCACAGAACAACACTCACTTTCAGCTGACTTTGAATTGGGCTTAGTTCTTGTTAATGTTCAGACAGTTGTTAACATACGTGCAAACATGAATTTGCATTTGGAGGCAAGGTAACTGTCACTGCACCAGCCACTCCCTTACTGTTTTATGGGTAGCTTGCTGTTGCCAATGGCCTTCAAGTGGACAGGAAAACAATTGCTTCTGAGATAGAAAAAAATGGCACTACCTCATACCATGAAGTAACCGTCTACAATATAACAGCTAAGACTCATTTTATTTTCAAAATCAAATCATCATCATTGTTCTCGACCTCCATAACTCTTTACACTATAGAATGTACTGAAGTGTATCTATAAAAGTCTTTACTTCCTCTCCTTCCCGCTGATTGAATGAACAGCCTTTGATCTGCTGAAACACACAATACACAAGAGACCTTCAGCATTCATTCATAACTTCAGTCTGCTCTCCCAATGCAGGCACACAATGAAATCAAGTTCTTCCTGTCTTCTACAACTAGGCTGGAAACGACCAATTCAAATCAAAAAGCAGCAAAACAACAGATATATGACATTGAACTCATTAATATTCCAAAAACGTATTTCATTTTCTTTATCGTCCTCTATTATTTTCTTATTTGCACCATAATATTTCCCTTTATGACAGGTAATTATCACCTGCAATGTATTTTTAGGCTTTACTGTAAGAATTTCTCTTGGATACAGGATGATGATGATGATGATGATGAGTAAATCAAGTCATTATTTCTCATCATGAAATGCAAATGAAAATTAAACCCTAAAGAGTTAATGTAATAAATTTAAACCTGGAGATTTGTGTGTGCAACAAACATGTTGTATTTGTTGTACTAATGTCATTTAGGCCAACAACAATACATAAACTATCCCACTGGACTGTGTGATGAAGTATGATGAAGGTGTGTGAAGTGAGCTCAGGTGGGTTTACTCCTGGTCACGTGTGAAACCTCCTCTCTGCCGCTCTCCGGCTGGATGCGCTAGGACCGCGGGGACCAGAGCGCAGACGCAGACGGAATGGGCGCACTTGGGGTAGTAACTAAGTGAGTTTGAGTGTGACAGAGGCAAGCAGGCAAAACCGCTAGATTCTGGGAATTAGGCTGCACAGGAGTCGATCCAGACCAGCTCACTTCTTGTCCGAAATAATATTTTTTTTTCTCCTGTTTAAATGCGTCTAAAGTTGAGAGTCTGCGGAGATCTCCGGGATCGGTGAAAACAGTAAGGACAACTTTTTAAGAGCAGCGAAACAACTGACAAAAGTTTTGAGAATATACTTTCTTTACTTCTTCATACATTTGACAGCGTGGATCTGACTGTGACTGCTCAGTCGTGAATCTCATCAACCCCTGGATTAACTTTTAGTGTGGGAGATTTAGACGTTAATGTGGACACTCCCAAGTGTCCTACAAGTGATGTAAATCTCTTAGAGCAATTATTACGACCACCAGCGTTTTAGGACAGAATACTGCGCCTGTTTGTAGGCGTTGAGGACGTTTGGATGGACTCACACATCCCTTCAATTTATTAACCTTCTGGACCAAAGGGAGTTGTGCGCCCGCGCTGCCATGACATAACGGGACACTCTTGGCAAATCAAGGGTGCTGAATATTTCTGAAATGACTGGATGATGAGTGTTCATTGTTGAGCCGAGGACCTCCAAGTTGACCATTCATTCAAGACCTGAGAGATCATTTTTCTTTTCGCTTGCCCTCCTTACGGCCCCCTGAAAGCTTCATGGTGGAGA